ATCCAGGCACAGCGCCCTGGGTGTTACGCCCTGGGAGAGTACCCCAACGCAGCACCTCAGTGCAATGCCCTGGTGCAACGCTGTGGGTATGGCACCCTGGTACGGCACCCTGGGCATGGCCAGGTGTCCTGCGCTGGACCCGGAGAGGGGATCGATGTTACCAGGGCAGCCCCAGGCTCTGCCCAGGGTGCAGTGCCTCAGGCCCTGGACCCTAGCAGTCACGGGGCTGGTGCTCACAGCAGGATGTGCCTCTTCTTGCCCCTGCCTGGGTCCGCTCCCTGGGCGTGAGGTGCTTGGCAGAGGGAACTGTGAGGTCTTCTCCACCTCATCCCCTGCCCTGTCCCATGTGCGAGGGGGAAGGACACGGCCCCCTCCTGAGCCATCTGCCAGAGGCGGAGGCAAGCTGCACGTGCATATGAGCACGTATTGGGCGTCTGGGGGGCGAGGGGGCCGTGCACAGTGCTGATCCCCAGCCTCTCTCTCCTCTCTACCTACAGGCTGTACCTGGGAAATCCCATGGACCCTCCTGACATTTTAGGTGTGGATTTAACTGCTGCCAGACCCACTCAACTTCCAGGAAGGACTAAAAGTAAGCGATTTTTTTTTCCCCTTGGTCCCTCTGTCTCCAGCCCGCTAGCTGCGCTGGGCTGTGCTAAGCCCAGTCTCCTCTCTGCGCCAGGAACTGTGCCCTGCCGCCTGGGTGATGGGTAGGACTAGCCAGCACTGCTTTGCTGTCCTGTCTCTCCTCCCTGCTCTGTCTCTTGCTGCCACTTGCTTTTCAGAGACTGGGGGCACAAGCTTTTGCGGGGGGCTGGGTGCGGGCAGGACTGGCTGTGCTGTCACCTGGCCCAGCAGCGTCCCCCAGCTAGGGCAACTCGCAGGCTCTGCCAACGCAGCCGGGCTGCAACCTCTGCCCTATTGCCACTCGTAGTGCTGGGACAGGCCCCACACCCCCTCCGAGCCTCCTGGGTGAGGGCTCCCCATCACGGGGGACCTCAGAGCCACGGAGTCCCAGGAAGGTCAAGGAATTTAGACACCACAGATGTGCTTCCAGCCCTCAAACCTACAAATTGGGGGGCTGCCACCAGCATCTGCCCCATGCCCACATCTCCCGCCAGGCCCCCACAGCCAAGGCCGGTGGAGGGGCGAAGCGTGCACCGCTCTCCCGCTAACCCCCCTGGCTGCCTGCTTGCTTCATGCACTAACTCCGCGTCTCCCCTCCTCTCGGGCTCTCTCTTCTCCCGCAGGGCAGCCGCCTCCCCCCCCGCCTCAGCCTGCCGTCCTGCTTACGAGTAAGTGGGGCTGTTCTGGGAGCCGCCAGCCCTGCTCGTGCCCCCTCTGTTCTCTCTTAGCTCCTTTCTTCCAAGGTACTCGGGGTGTGCTGTGCGCTTCTCGCCCGGGGCGGCCCGCTGTCCCCTCTGCTCCGCTTGACCCCCCTTGGGAGATGTGGCCAGGCTCCCTGGCAGGTGATGGCACGGCCCTGCTCTCTCCCTAGAGACGTGTCCACTGCCCATGGACCCCTCTCCCAAATCCAGGGCAGGGCCCAAGCGAGGTGGCCCCCTGTTAGGCCTAGCCTCAGGGGGATGGTGCCCCCCTTGCTACATGCCCCACCTCCCCGTAGGCGTCTCCAGGCTCTTTCCCCTCCTCGAACATCTCCTGTGGAGGGACCAGTGGGGACTAACTGCTCCGAGGTGTTACCCGCTGCCAGTACTAACCCAGGTGCTATGTGGGGCTGAGCCACCCCTCGGCCCCAGCACGGCTGTGGCATGGGCATGCACCGGGGGTGAGGGGGCAGGTGGTGGCTGTGCGTGACGTGGACGGAGAGACATGGAGCTAGGCTAAGTTGAGGCGCAGGTCCCCTGCCCCACGGCGGGGGGGAGGGCAGGGGCAACCCAGGGCAGATTGTGCTCCGAGAGCAGCAGGGCAGGAAGGGGGCAGCCCTGTGTCCGAGGGGATGAAGACAGGAGCAGGGCAAGGGGCTGCCAAGGCTGACATGTTGTGGGGCTGGGCGAATTTTCTGGACATCGCAGTCTTGCTTTAAAAAGGATCGTGCTTGGGGTCTTGGGGCTGGAGATGCTCGCCTGCACCTATCATGCCCCCTGGGGCGGGAGTCACCTCTAAGGAGGACCATCCCCTCCCGCCACCCCAAGGGAAGCGGGGAACATGGGGTGGGGATGCTGAAGGAGTGCGGGATCTGGTGGCACCCTCACTGCCCTCTCTGTCACATCCTAGAGCCTTCCTACGACCCAGTCAGCGAGGAGGACGACGTGCTGTCTGCAGGCCTCCGGAAGCTCTGCCTGAAGAAGCCAGGCCCAGGGAAGGGACTGCGGCTGGTGAAGCCCTCAGCCCGGGTGTCAGGCACCAAGGTGGGCGAGCGGCAGCCCAGCCAGCCACTGAGCGAGGGTCCGGCGGGCGGCGAGGTGACCCTGATTGACTTTGAGGAGGAGGTGCCCCCACCAAGCCCCTCACCTGTGGGGGAGCTCACGGCCCCCTCCCTCGCCAAGTTGGCCATGGAGGCCTTCTCACTGCTAGACAAGACCCCACCACAGAGCCCCACGCGGGCCCTGCCCCGGCCCCTCCACCCCACGCCCGTAGTGGACTGGGACACCCGGCCCTTGCCCCCGCCACCCGCCTACGATGATGTGGCGCAGGATGAGGATGACTTTGAGGTGTGCTCCATCAACAGCCCCCCGGGACAGCGGGGCAGCCGTGCGGGGCTGCCCAGAGTCCGGGAGCGAGGCGAGACCAACTATGGCTTCGTGGATGAGGGTGAGAGGGCCGCAGTGCTGGAGGACAACCTCTTCCTGCCCCCCAAGGAGGCCAAGCAGCTCAGCCTGACACAGACCACTGAGATCTTCGAGGAGCTGCAGCAGGAGTGCATGAAGAGGCTGAACGTGCCCCTGGGGCCAGCTGTCTTTGCCGCCGCGGCTCCTGCCGAAGACAAGCCCCAGATCCCACCTCGTGTCCCCATCCCACCCCGGCCCCTGCGCAGGAATGAGCCCGGGCGCTGGTCAGGGGAGCTGTCACCAGCTTCAGGGGGTGAGGAGGACCGGCCGCCCCAGATCCCCCCCCGGGACCCACTGTCACAGCCCACCTCCCGGACACCTAGCCCCATGGCTCTGCAGGTGGGCTCTCCCCAGCAGCGCACCACGCTCTGCTCCTACCTCTCCACCTCGCCAGGGAAGCCCATGCCCACCACGCAGAGTTTCGCCCTTGACCCTAAATACGCCACCCCCAAGGTCATCCAGGCGCAGGGCAAAGACTGCCCTAAGGGGCCCTGCATCCTGCCCATCGTGAAGGATGGGCAGAAAGTCAGCAGCACCCATTACTACCTGCTGCCCGAGCGCCCTGCCTACCTGGACAAGTACGAGAAGTTTTTCAAGGAGGCCAAAAGCCCCGAAGAGGTGCCGGCGTCCCGCGTGGTCACCACAGCCACCGTCCGGCCCATGGTGCAGCAGCAGCCAGACTACAAGGCCAACTTCTCCTCCAACAACAGCAACCCTGGCCCCAAGTGCCTGGTGAAAGCCTCCTGCAGCCTCCAAAAGATCGTCTACGATGGGCCAGATGGCTACCGCCCCTCCGAGAAGATCCGGCTGGTAGGTGGCTTCCCCAGGGCTCTGCGGGTCATGTGGGGCAGGGTGGCTTTCGTCCTGGTGGCATAAGTCCATGGCCGTGCCTGTGCCACGGACTCACTGCACTGCCTGAGCCAGAGCTGTCCGCACCCTATGCCTCGGTTTCCCTATGTCTGACCCCAAGGGGCACTGGCTACGAGGTCTCTCCAAAGACACCACAGTGCAGAAGTGTCATTGCAATGCCCAAAGCAGGATCAAACACCCTTTTAACCTGTGTTAGCCCTGCCCCAGGGCAGACTGTGAGCCATGGCCTGAGCTGGCACCGCAAGCTGGCTGCCATGGCCAGGCCCAGATTGGTGGCTGTGGTCCCCTTGGGCTTGGAGGGCAAACTGTCCTGGGTTGGTCCCAGCTGGGGAATTTGTACCCAAGCCCCGGAGAAGCTGAAGATCCTGGGGATGGGCAGGGCAGGGGTGAGAGCACCTCCAGCTGGGCAGCGGGGAGGCAAGAGCTCGCCCCTGTCCCAGGCAAGAGGTGCATGTTGGGATGTGCTGTAGAGGGCGGGGGGAGACAGCTGGCAACCCAGGGTTGAGGCGGAGGGCCTGTGCACCCTAAAAGCTCATAGTGCCATAAAGGGATTGCTCACGGCCAGGAGCAGTGGGGTCTAGAGGTCACTGGCCCAACAGCTGCCCACCGCACGGGATGCAGAGCTGTACCACAGGGATGGGTTGGCAGACCCACAGAGGCAGAAATCCCCCATGGTTCCAAAATGCACAGCGCAAACACCAGTCCCCTAACCAGCCCCAGCTCCTCCTGGCTGACAGTGCTTCATGGGGCAGAGGCATGGGGGGAACCCCAGAGTCCTGCACTGACCCCCTGCTCCAGCTGTGGGGGCCTTGCTGCTCCGGGTGGCTGGGTGCGTTGGTGGGCTGGTGGGTGCTCTGGCGGCACGCAGACGGTGTCCCAGGGTAACAGCTAGCCTTTTGCAGGTGCAGGACATGGTGCATGGCGTGACGACAGAGGAGTGCCAGACAGCCCTGCAAAACCATGGCTGGAACGTCCAGCGCGCCATCCAGTACCTGAAGGTACGTGCTGTAGCGCCCAGCACCGCCACCCCGGCGAGGGTAGGGATGGCCCCTGCCAGCCTGCAGCCTCTCACCCACACTGTGCCGTGTCCTGTTGCAGGTGGAGCAGCTCTTTTGCTTGGGGCTGAAGTCCCGTGTTGAGTGCCACCGGGTGCTGGAGATGTTCGACTGGAACCTGGCACAGGCCAGCTCCCACCTCCTGGATCCCTACAGTACAGCCCGGCAGAAGTAGGTGCCCAGCCCCAGGAGGCACTGGGAGCAAGGCAAATCTTTTGGGGAGGGTCTCCCATCCCAGCAAGGCATGTGTGGAGCGGCCTGGAGCTGCTCTTGGGTAGCTGCGTCCATCACCCTTCCAGAGCTCGTGTCCTCTCCTCTCCTTGCAGGCGGTGACAGCGGGGCCCAGGTGGGTTACGTCAGATCTGGAGTGGGCATCTCGCCGTGGGACCACCATGCGCTGTGGCCCCCCCTATCCATACAACCTGCTGCTGGACTCTGGACTGAGCCCTGCTTGGGGGACAGGGGTGCCCCGAAATGGAGCCTGTCTAGGGCTTGGGACACTTGCCATGCTAGGGTGCCCCTGCCCTGGCTTTGGAGATGGTCTCCGTCCCCCAGCCCGTTGTTGAATTG